TCGCTACAGCGACATGGTTAGTAGGTTTGCAAGACCAGTTCCCCTTTTTTGTATGATATCGAACATCGTGCTTAACTATATCTACGATCTTCATCATCGGAGAATCACAGCCTGGAATCAGGCTATTCTCAATCCACTTGCTCTTCAACAATATGCTGATGCTGTGTCTGACAAAGGAGCTACCCTCAACAACTGTTTTGGGTTTGTAGACGGAACGGTCCGTCCGATTTGTAGACCGAGAGAGAATCAAAGGATGGTATATAATGGACACAAGAGAGTTCATGCTCTAAAATTTCAGGCTGTTGCCCTCCCTAATGGCCTCATTGGACAAATGTTTGGACCAGTAGGTAAGAATTAGAAATGTAGGAATTCTTTTTTTAATTAGCAGCTCATCCTTTTTAATTAAACTTCCCTTATAAGCTTATGTCTTTATCTTCAGAAGGAAGAAAGCATGATGCTGCAATACTTGCTGATTCTGACCTCTTTACCACCCTGGAGCAGTATGCTGTATCCCCAACCGGACAGGCAATGTGCATTTATGGGGACCCTGCTTATCCTCTAAGAGTAAATCTCATGGCTATGGTTGGCGAAATGGTGCAAAACTCAGGAACGTTGTATACATTCACATTCACCGACATATTGATTCACATTCGCGGTTTATATTTTCATTCACGAACAAAAATCGTCCACATTCAAGATCGCTAAATACATGCACATTAAAATTCATTCACATTCAGGAACACTCTATTCAACAATGTTATATTCATTCAGCGATGTCAATTTCATTCAAAAGTTTTCATATTCATTCAGCAACTTCTGCGCAGCAACAGTTGCGCATACGTCACACGATTAGCATGGCGCCCCGAGCCCACGGTATTTCGATTGATGAAGATGGCGGACGAAAGGGCGGAGACTAGCGACTAAATACGGGAATGGCTCCGACCTGTAATTGGATGATAAAAATAGTAAAAGTTTGTAAAAGTTAATAAGTTACAACTTAACTCCTTGCACGTGAGTATTGATTAACCGTGTGTCTCCAAGCGGAACGGTGAAATATTAATGCGACTGAAAACTCCAATGCGTTAAACAAGAGATGGTTACTTTCATAACGAAGGGGAGACCTTTCTAGTTCAGTGATATTCCGGAGAGGACTAAGTCATCTGCGAACTCGTTCCGCTGTCTAAACTCATTTAGTCAGTTCAGGCTCAGTTCAGGTGGACGACTAGTGACTGGAGCCATTCCTGTATTTCACCGCTGGTAGGAATGGCTCCGACTCATGCGTTTATTAATTTTCTTTTTTTTTTTTTGGCGAAATAAGTTTTAAACTGAAACAAAATCTAAAGAGCTTTTTATTAAGTTCTTCTTAAGTTGAACATTACAATGCTTGTGATGGAGCCCTCATAAATTAATACAAGGCCATATGATGTCTAAAGTTTAATGCAGCGACTGCATGTCACGTTTCGAAAATCACGCAATGTTACGTGACGCTCCGACCGCTACTTTTAATTTACAGAATGCTCTGCTGGAGAAATGTGGCTTGGCCCTTTTTATGAAATCAAAGTCTGACTCTCCAATGAAGGGGAATTTAGTCTTGAAAACACCAACAAGTTCATTTCTTATCTGGTCTTCAGTGTGGCCAGGGATGAGATCGAACTCTCCCCTCAAAACAACCTTGCTCTCACGGAAAGTAACTTCAGTCTGGTCGCTGTCACAATCTTGCTCGTCCTTTTTTTCAAGCGATTTCGCTTCAATCAAATAAACACTTTTTGGAATTGCAGTAGGCTTACTTGCTGTTCCCTTGTTTCTTGGACGATAAGGATGCCCTGGTACAGATGAACTAAGCACTTCCCTTTTTGATGGACGCCGGCTAGCTGAGTTCTCAGCCCGAAGCGTTGAGTTACCTTCCATCTCCCTTGCGGTAGAATA